AATATTATTATTATATAGATTTTTTTTTTTTTTTAAAGTGACAGTAAAGACATTTACAATGTTATAAAAGATTTCTGTTTCAAATAATTTGTTCTTTAACATTCTATTTATGAAAGAGTCCTGAAGAAAAAAAAAACATTTTAAACATTGATAATAATGAATGTTTCATGCGCACCAAATCAGCATATTATAATGATTTGTGAAGAATCATGTGACACTGAAGACTGGAGTAATGATGCTGAAAATTCAGCTTTATCGTCACCATAAATGATGGAATAAATTACATTTTAAAATATATATATAAAAAGTTATTTGAAATTGTAATAATATTTCACAATATTACTGTTTTTACTGTATTTTTGATCAAATACATACAGCCTAGGTGAGCATAAGCGACTTCTTTCAAAAAACTTATCAACCCCAAGCTTTTGAACGGTAATATAGCTGATCCTATAATAATGTGTATATTCTATCTTAAATTACTACAGGATGACATTGTAGCCATTTGGATTATGTTTTAAAAATTACACTGACAAATTGTGTCCCACTTCACCTCTATTCACCTTATATATGGACTGAATGAGCAGGGTTTTGACTGCCTTAAATGTATGTTGAAGGATATTTTGAAGGTGATTCAGAGTGCTTCTTGGTTCACTGCCATGTTAAAGTATACCTGCAGGTACTGACAACTCATCTGTCATGGTTTAATAGCCATAGACAGCTTGTCTTTTATTGTCTTGTAGCATCTATCATCCAAATAGGATGCCTGTTAGCCTTCCAGTGTCTGAGCTGTTGAATGCAGGGATATAAACATTCAGGTTCGTCCCCAGAAGTGCACAGAATAGTTGAAATATATTGGACATCTTCATTGATCCTCATATTTGTGAATGGCTGTTCATTTTCTGTGGCTTTGCAATGACTAGAAGCTGTTTCCTCTTAGAATGTAATGTATTTACCTTTTTTTTTTTTTTTTCAGTTTACCATTGGACAAATGTTTATATCTCCATAAGAATGTAAGTCTTAAATAAGGCCCAGTGGTCAGCTGCATCTGCATCTTTCATGGTTATCAAAAACAGTTCTCTCTTTTCTACTTTAGACATTTCATAATGTTTATTCCACCTTTAAGTATTGAAATCACCACATTTTTGTCTAAAGCCGTTGTGTGCCAATTAAAGCCATTGTGAAGTCATGCAAGGCCAAAGGTTTACAATCTTATCAGGAAAAAGAGTTTATTCTGGCAGAAGAGCATCTGTCATATGAGTTCACACGAGTTCTCTTTTTATTTTAGTGGACTGACTTCTGAGTCTGTCATAGAATGTACTTAGAAAGATATCTGTTTTTATTTCATATAAATGTTAAGACTGTTCCTATTAGATGTTGAACTGTTTTGCTGAGTTACTGCAGTCTGTTTGAATCCTGTTTGCTGAATTGACAATGTGGTCTATCCCTAAATTGTGTCCTTTCCCCTTCTGCTTGACAGGATTGACATGAACAACACACAGTAGCTGTCAAAAATCCAACCAATCGGGATGTGACTTTCATTTAGACAACAGCCATCATTTTGGTTACATCTTTCAGGCCCATACAGAATCTGCAAACTTCTTCACATCCCTCACCGCTTGCATGTTCATTTATGACACATTTTGGCTTTTTACTGTTTCTTTCAGTTACCAGTAAGAGTCTAGTACTCTATAGTTTTAACACACACTTCCATATTTATTTCTGCCCCAAAATCAGCACAGACAATTAGATAAAAGTGCAGAATCTGTCTGGGCCTTCATCTATCCAAAGTTATTTGCTTGTAACTTTATTCACCAATGCACAACATTTAGCTCAAGCATAATCACCACCACTCACTCAGCACTTTGTCTATGTCTCTTGTGAAGACTGTTTGTGTATTATCTTTAGGGTACAAGTGGGAAACAGCACCCTAACATTTGATTTAAGTCTGGGCATGTCTGACTCTAACAGTGTTTATAATGTATATTCTGCTGTAATTAATAACAATTAAAACAATGTCTACCCAGCTGTGTTCCAGCATGCATCATTTCATTGCAAACACCTGCCAGCATATAAGAAACCTATGTCTTTGACATTATTAATGAAAAAAAAAACACAATGAAGACCTGTACATAATGAAATAATTGATCATGAACCATAGCAACTGCAGAAGAAAGATGACACTGCACTGAAAAGAAAGAAACCAGCCTTCATCTTGTCTCTCCATCAGATGGCATATTGAATGTAGTGATTGCCGGGGAAGTTGAATTGAGTTAATTGCATGCATTGAACCATTAACTGGGTCACAGAAGGTGACCATCCAGCTTTATAATCTGAGCTCATTTGGCTATTTCTCCCTTTTTTAACAGACAAGGGTCCGACTGGGATGTGAACAATTTCAAACTAGCTTTCAGAAGTAAAGGGAGGAGCTTTGAGATGAAGGGCATTAGATAAGGCCATTAGTGCTCTGTGGATTACAGTAATCCAGCACCTTTAATATCAGTGCGGTGGTCCACCACTCGAAAAATAAACATCATGGAGTACAGACTGCAGAACACGTTTCTGTTAGCCGTCCTGCTGGTGTCTGAAGGTATGTGTTATTGAGTTGCATTATTTTCACTAAATTAGCAGAAATTAACATTCAAATTTGGGAAAAAAAAATTTTTTAATCAGATTTAAAGACAAAGAACAATGAAAAATGTAACTATTACTAAACTAAGTTAATAAAGATGATTGTGAATGTTAAATGTTAATAAAACATTTCACCTGTATTACAATTTTATTTCTAGTCTAATGAAATGTTGCTGTTTTACTCTTCCACATTTTGTCCAGGTTTTATTGGGCTGCAAGCACAAGAGGTAATTAAACACATTTGCTATTAATATCAGAGACAACTAAAAGATAAATATTGATGGCAATGTTAATATGTGTTTAGGATGGCGAGGGCAACAGCACATGGGCTAGGAAAATTTGCAAGTGTGACTGTGATTCCTCTAGCAAGTTGCTTTCTAAAGGTTCTTCATCAAGTAGGGGACAGGAGATGGACTGCATGCCAGGTAAGAAAGAGAAAGGGACTGTAAGAAATATGGACGAAAAAATGCATTCTAATAATCACATTACTGTCTTCTTTTAAAATGTAATAAGCACTAATTGTAACCTAAGTGTGAGTGCTTTGTAGGCTTTGTCCTGGTTTGGATAAACTCCATTATGAAGAAGTGGTTCAAAACGTGTTAAACATGTAATGACTCAGTTTCCTTCGTTATCTAGATAGCACTGTTTTTACTGCCTGAGGGTGAATTGTGAATCAAATACCACTGAAATCCTTTATGCTCATTTTGTCAGGAGAGCGAAACTTGTGAATGGGGCTTTGCACTAACATTGACTCTTTGGGAATTGAGATGAATGGATTAGTTAGCACTAGCTGGTGCCCTCTAAAAACAGAAGGCAGGACATGTGTGAATGAGCTGGCTGCCGGACAAGCCTTCCCCTGCAGTGGTGCAGAAAGTCATTAATCATTTGGTTGCAGCTTCACCTGGACCATGTGCGCCATCACCGCATCCCATTGGCACACCACCACAGGGCAGACATGCTCCATTAACACAGAGCAACTTGTGTTCGGAGTCCTCCAAGACTGATGTGTTAGAATTAAATGAAATGAAAAGCTGAGATTTTTTTTTTTGAATGGAGCAAGAATCAGAGATGGATCCCATTATGTTGAGATGCTGAGATTACCAAGACAAGATTAGGTCCACTCAATTAAACCATTGACCATTAAAAGGGATTGTTTACAAAAAAAAAAATGAATTTAAGTTAATTCTCTATCATTTGTCATTCCAAACCTGTATGACTTCCTTTCTTTTTTGTTCTACAGCTTTGTTCCCCTTTGACTTCCATTATATTTTTGACCATGCAATGGAAGTTACTGTTTAGTTATCAACATTTACTTCTGGAGAGATTTTTAAAGAGACACTCTGAAAAAGAGAAATTCAGTTTAGAATTCATGACTTCTGAATGCATTTATTTTCCCTGGATTTCATCTAAATCAAAAGTGGAAGTGGGTTTGTCACAAAGAACATCCTAAATCCTTGAAAAGAGGGACTTTTATGTAAAAACACTGATGTAGGACTGGAGCTTAAGTGTGGAACGTGACCATCTGTCAAGCTAAAGTCTTAATGGATGTTGATCTTTCACTATGGGGAACTAAAGCTTTTGGGATTGTAAAGTCACGAGCAGAAGAGTGGAAAGAACGGAATTACAGAGCCACCAGATTAACGCTTTGTCCATTTCTCTTTAACACAGCAGGACAAAGAAATCTCTCTGATTGCGTGACTAATGTTTCATTAAGCCTCCTGTCAGACATGTCTGATATCTTGCAGGCTTTTGTTGAATGGGCCTGTCCATAGATTTTTGGTATTTGGAGCTGCCTTTAGAGTCAGAAAGCCTGGTTGGAGCCAAACTGACATAGATGTGTTTATGTTTTTACTTCAAATTACAGTATATGCAAAGATACATATTAACCACATTCTCAATTTACTGTCCAGAGTGTCCCTATCATAAGCCCCTGGGTTTTGAGGCAGGATCTGTGACCTCAGATCAGATCAGCTGCTCTAATGAAGACCAGTACACAGGCTGGTTCTCCTCCTGGATTCCAAGCAAAGCAAGGCTCAACAACCAAGGATTTGGGTGAGTTCTCTGAAATATTTATTAGTATTTCATTGAAAAAAAAAAAAGAATACCTTTATTCAGCAAGGATGAATTAAATTGATTAAAAGATGCATTAAATGGACCTATTCATCAAAAACCATGAAAACAAAATATTAAGCAACACAACTATAATGTGTAATAATAATAAGAAATGCACCAAATCAGCATAATAGAAAGATATTTGAAGGATCATTTGACAATGAAGACTGGAGTAATGGCTTTGCCAAAATAAATTTCCCTTTAAAATGTATTAAAATAGAAAAAAAGTTATTTTAAATTGTAATGATATTTCACAATATTTTTTACTGTATTTTTGATTAAATGAATGCAGCCTTTGTGAGAATAAGAGACTTCTTTCAAAAACATTTAGAAGTCTTACAGACCCCAAACTTTTGAACAGAGTGTTACTGAAACGATCTTGATAAACAGTTTTAGGTATTTCAATCTTAAAGAGACTTGGACTATTTTGCATATATAGATTCTCTCTCTCTCTCTTGTCCAAGGTGTGCCTGGCTGTCTAAGTTCCAGGATACCAACCAGTGGCTTCAGATTGACCTGAAGGAGGTCGAAGTGGTTTCTGGTATCCTGACCCAGGGCCGCTGTGACTCTGATGTGTGGGTTACCAAGTACACCGTGCAGTACCGCACCAATGAGAAACTCAACTGGATCTACTACAAGGACCAAACTGGAAACAACAGGGTATTCCAGCCCATCCTGGAATAATGATTGAAAAAAAAATCACTATTTCTTTGAAGGAATACATAAATATTGGTTTTAATTGTTTTCAACACTTACTTCTTTTTCCCTCAGATGTTCTATGGAAACTCTGACCGCTCTTCCACAGTCCAGAACCTTCTGCGTCCACCTATCGTAGCACATTACATCCGTATCCTCCCTCTTGGTTGGCACACTCGCATCGCCATCCGCATGGAGTTGCTACTTTGCATGAATAAATGCACCTGATCTGGAACATGTCAGCGAAGCCATACTCAACTATTTCCTGTTCCATCCCATTTCTTGTATCCCAACATGCCAAAGTGAATATCACTGCCCAATCACTGCACTCAATTCATTTATTCTTATTTTCTGGTATTTTCAAGGAAGAAGCGATCATTAGAATGTGTTAAGGTTACATTTATTTGTCTTAAATATGTTTTCCTCTTCTTTTTGCATATAAAGACGTGTATTTCATTCATTTTATAAACCAAAAATGTGTTGCTTTGTCAAATAATTTTTTATCAAATTGCAAGCTGAGGCCACTGTAGTAATATGGCTAAACCAGAGGCTTGCTTATCTGAGACATCTCATGGAGTTTTGTATTATTGTGTGTTCTAATGTGGTTTGTGATGGTGATGTAGGGTGTTTCATTCCCACAGTTATGACCAATTCCTTTTTGAATTTATTATGAGCGTACATTGTTTAATTGTGTTTGTGGCTTACCTGAGAAACAATGCCTTTGAATAAAGTGTCTCTCTGTACCTTGCATGTTGTATAATCTGTTCACTCTCAAGTTGGGTTCACCATTTTAACACAATTCCAAAAGGTTAATATGGCTACTTGATAAAAAGAAATAAAAGAAATATTCATATAAAAAAAAAATTGTAGTAAGGGGAGCATGTGCTAGAGGCCCCCAGTGTATGTGTACATGCACAGGATGATCCAATATATTATTAGAGGAAATAAATTAAAACATTTCCATAAACTACATCTGATATAACTTTTAATTATTCACTTCTATATAAGGTAGTAATTTCATACTCAAGACCTTATGTCAAAAACGAGATGTTTGAAATTTAATAATTATTTAAAAATAATAACTTAAAAATGCCTCAGGAGTATTTTGCCCCATTTCAGAAGGGGTCATCTTACAAAGTGTCTTACTTTACTGTTCCACTTCAAATAAAAAGCATATTTCCCCCCTAAAGTCTAAATTAATTAGGCTACTGCTGTGCCCATGAATTCTCCATCAACAAACATAAAAACATTATATTCAATTATATAAATTCACAGAAAACTATATGGTAACTATCAAATGATATCAAAACTAAACTCTCCAGATGGATTAAGTCTGACAAACGCGGGTGTTCAGAAAATATGCTCTTTTTGTGTCGAGCGAGTGCGCATGCGCTTCAAGGCAAATAGAGGAGGAATGCACCTGCTTGTTAGTCATTAGTGGATTGATTAGAAATACCTTAAATTGTAATTTCGCTTCAGCGACTGTTGTTTACACACTCCTCTGATCATCATGAAAGCTCTTGGCCTTAAAAGCAAGCGGTGTTCCTCATCCAGAAGTTCCATATCAAGAACCAGAGGACACGCTGCGTTCATGTACACAGTCCGACAACAGGTGTGTTTTATAGGTCCAGAAATAACAAAAGAACAGAAGTTGAAAGTGTACCTAAAATGATTGCATATAAAAACAACTGGCTTTCATGTACAGGTCAATAAGACGGCAGTGAGACGCGTTCATGAGGCCAAGAGCGTAAGCAGATATTTGCTGCAGAGACTGGGGTCAGAGGCCGCGCGTCTCTCCTGTTTCAGCCGCCACAGAACCGTCTCGAGGAGGGAGATTCTGGAGGCCTGGGATCAGATGAGACGACGCAGAAATCCAGCTCCGCTGGCAGGCGCTTGAATCTTTTTAACAGACGCTTTAAATGTATCTATTTTAACGGATCTGTACATATTTAACTGTTGAAATAAAAGCCTTTTGTTAAAATAGTGAGGGTTTGTTTACTGTCGTAACAACTGTACGCTGGCATGTGTGACTTATTTATATATGGAATATTTGATTCTTTGCAGTACGTGTTTTTTTCCACTAACGTTAGTCAAAACGGGGTGGAAGCCCTCTGCTTAAATTGATGGTGCCCTGGCGTAATTTAAAAACACTTCAAACCCCTTGAGAGGCTTTTCCTCGTTTCTTGGATGATTGCTCGCATTTTGCAAAACATGCTACGTCACGTCTACACTACAAGACCGTGAATAATACAAATATAGATGTGAACTGTACTTTCTGTGACTCACAACCAGAAAATGTCTTGCATCTTCTTTTTTTTGTTGGCTTTGTGCTCATAAGAAAACCTTGGCAAGACATTTGCCAGTTCACTGTAAAAGTGTAAACGCACACAATTACTTTGATCTTTGACATTTAAAGATGTTTTGTATTTTTCACTTTAGAGAAGCAATATGAAAATGTTTACGTTCTTTGCAACTTAATTATTTTGCTTGCGAAATATTTTAACAAATGCAAGATTATGAAAGTTGCCCACAATAAATGTGAATCAAGAAGTTATAAACATGACTGAAGACGATCAATGCGTTTTTCATACTATATATAAGAATATAAACGAATATATTAACGAGGGTTAATAAACGAATCAGTGAATGAATCATTTACTGAACGGATCCAAACGATTCGAGTAACTGGGATGAATCAAAACCTCCTCACTAGACTCACACGAGTCACTGTGATGTGCTCTCAAATCGTCATTCGTCAGACTGCCACGGCGTTTAATGCAAGCTAGGTTTATCTGACACTTGGTGTTTATCTATTGCATCCCTCCACATTTGGAAATTAATGTTTGATTTTTCATCATCTACTTCTTATCCAACCCTAATTTCTCAACGTATTTGATGTCGTACTGAATGATGGACAACGGAAAGGTAACTTGCAGTGTTTTGTTTGTGTTCCGTGCATAATTGTACGATTGTTCGTTCCGCTTGTTTGTTCTGCATTTTTTTGTCGTTAAGGAATAAAGACCGTGTCAATGTTTTAATGCCTCTTAAAGAGATTAATGTGACTTAAAAAGAAGTTGGGGCAACATATTTAAACTATAAAGACATATAATAATAATAAATTATTATTATTGTTATTACTATTATTATTATTATTATATTTCTAACGCTGTGAAGGTGACAATCAACAGTCTTCATATCTCTCCCTGTGCCCCCTCCCAGAGATTGATCACTGTTAAAAGGGCCTTTTGAAAGGCACTTTAGGGGCACTGATTAAAGTCCAGCATGATTTGCAGTAAGTATCTTTTGTTGCTTTATTCTACAGAGGAACATTATAGTGATGCTGGATTAATTTCAAGCAGTATTCCTTTTTTCTGATGCCATTTCACTTCATTATGAATATATATATCAAAATAGCACTGAAATATTAGGTCTGTTTTATTAATAGTGGCAACAATAGCCATGAGGATGCATCTCCACAATATTCAGATTGGTGTTCAAATGTATTTTTATGAAACTATGTTACCCTCTGTCCTGAATATGTGGTTGCAGTATTGGTACTGTACTGATGAAGTTTAAGCTATTTTAGAAACAATTATTCAGTTATTTCTTTGCACAGACATTTCTGGTTACTAAATAAAGAAGAGAACCCCAAGAATTTCAGATATTCATGACTAGAAGCAAGCAGTGCCATCATGGGATGTGGCACATCCATTGCAGTTGAGAAACAAACACGCCCCTCAGAAACAGGTAAATATTGATTCTTCATCCCTAATGCTTTAATGTGATTTTCAATAATTAACCTCTTTTTCCTCTACCATTTGCAACAACCCTGGTTTCAAGAAGTTTGCATTTTTTTTTTATTTGTAAAAAATATGGCAGTGCTTGCATTGCATTTAGTCCCCAGTTCTATCTTTTTCTGTTGTTTTTTTTTCCACCCCCAAGGTGTTATTTAATTTATTCAATTTAATTTAATCACCTCTCACACAGATGGCTCCATCAAGCAGCCCAGCCCAGCTCTGAGTAAGGCACTTTCTTCAGCATCTGTCATCACTGTCTGTGTCTCATTTGTGGCTATAGAGAAGTACTTGTTGGCATGAAAGCACAATTGTATGTTCACAATGTAGATTTGTTTACATCTTTTTTAAAGTACAAACTAGATGGTTTACCATATATTTTTGCGGTAAACCAATGGGTGTGAGTTTTCTCTGTGCATTTAGAATAAATAAAATGGATGAGCAATTCTCCTATTCTTCTCGAACACAGCTTATAATTTCTCTATGGATGTGTACTCTTGAGCAAAGCCTTGTCTCTGACGTCTGAATTGTGTTCTTTCTTCTTAACTGCTCTTAGCAGTTCTTTAATTAGCACCTGTGATATTGACCTCCTGAGACAAGGTGTATTTTTAGCACAGTCTTTGCACTCAAGTATTCTGGAAAATTTCAAGTGTCCCTGTACCAAGAGCTTTATGTGCATTAAAGCGTGATGTTAACATGGTAACGTGAATCTAATGAGACAAAGGGGAATCAGCTGTAGCAACAGAACATTTTTGAAGGGTTGCTACAGTACTGTCCTAAAATGAAATGTTTCATGTTTAATTTCTCTGTATATGTGGAGATATTTCCCAGCAATTCTACATTTGCCATGTTGGCATCTTTTGACTCATATGTTCTCAAAAATAATTCACTCAGGTGTTGTTAAACAAGTAAAATTTAACCATGAGGAGCAACCTTCTTTATACCAAAGCACTTAAACTTAAAAAGAGATGTTCTATTTTTTCCTCTTTCTCTTTTTTTCTTTTTTTAATCTGACAGCTTTGCAGCTTCCACTGCCTCATGAGATGGCAGTGTCCAATGGTTGTACACTCTTAGAGGATGTAGTAGGTCAACCAGGGTCTTGTTTCATGAATACTGCATAATTAGACAGAGGTTGTGTCTGAAATCGCATACTGTCTGAGTAGGTGCTTCTTTTGGATAAGTAATTAAATAGTGTCAGCTAAAAAGTAAGTTCTATATATTTACTGTGTGTAGTATGAGTAAAATACAGATGTACTACATTCACCATGTTGTCATTAAAATGTGACAGTTTTGAATCGCTTTACTGCCATTGACAAATCCTATCCTGTGGTCTCATGGGATAGTAAAGGGTCCATTGTATGCACACTTCAGAATCTCGCTGGAAGTAGTAAGTCATCCGGGTGCTTTTTGCATACTGTTGTATGAGTACTGTGAATTTGGACCTCTAACTTCTAATTTCACACACTGTTTTTCACCTGCTATGTAATAGGAAAGTATGTGATTCCAGGTGCAGACATATTACTGCTTTTTGCATACTAAGTAGGGAAGTATGCATATTTGGTCCATTGGAAACCCTCATTGCCTGCATTTCTCTTCCCAATTAGTTTTTGTCTCTGTGGTTACAGAAATATGACTTCAAGGATACTGTTTACACCAGCCACTTGCATTCTTTGTGTGTTCTTAACATAGCTATAAAAGCTGCCATACTGATCCAGCGTTGGTACAGACGCTATGTCGCTCGCCTGGAGATGAGAAGACGCTATACATGGAACATCTTTCAGTCCATTGAGTATGCAGGGGAACAGGACCAGCTACAGGTATAAAAGCCACTTGATAGAAAAAACCACAAACAAACATCTCCCCTTAATCTTAATAAACTTGTAATGATATTAAAACTCATCTTTTTTTAAATTTGTTATAGCTCTCCAGTTTC